TGCTACGATGCTGACCGGCAAAACCCTTGACAGAAAGGCAAGACAGAAACACAATCTCTGATGTGTTGACTTGTGATTTTTGAGCCTTTTCCAAGCGGCGGAGTTCCAGGGCAGATGTTTGCAAAATCAGCCTCCATGCTGGGCTGCAGCTTTAGGCAAATAAATTCCCCTTTTTATTCAACAGCATCTTGAATTCACAAATGCACATGCTGAGCAAGAAGAAGAAGAAGACCCTATCTAGAAAGATCAGAATCATTTTTACAAGAGATCTGGCAACAGCCTGCAAATACCATATGCCAGTTCCTACCATCCTCCTGTTTCTCCTGGTTACTGGCATTTAAAGGTATACTGTCTTTTAACATGGAGGTTCCATCCTGGCTATTCGCGGATGAGAAGCCTCTTCCTCTGTTAATTATTCCAAGTTCCCTCGATTCTCCCTTTTGTTTTTCCCTTAAGAAGAATTATCTAGTGCTCCTGATGAACTTTGGGGGGGAAATTGAGACTTACTCACTTAACATCTCAGAGAGGCTTCCTTCCCCATCATCCTCAGCCCCCAGTCTGGCTGAGATGACAAGTGAGTAAGTGCGCAGATTTGCTTTGCTGCATTGCCCAGGGAGACTCTGATTAAAACCCACCCACACCCTCTTGGGAAGGAGAAAAATGTAATTTGCGACTCGCGATCTGTGAATTTTGCCACAATATTTTATGATAAGGACAGTTCCTCATGTGACACTTATATTATCTCTCCTTCTGTATGTGCAAAAGAGTGGATGAGAGCGAGAGAGAGACATGATTTTATCAAGTAAGCAGAGAGAGTAATCAGGAGACTTCGTTTTACATTAAAAAAAAAAAAAGGAATAAATAAATAAATCCCTACAGGAAGGGTAAAGCACATACATTTGAGAAAGCAAGAGAGGTGCTTACACTGGTTAACGCATCTTGCTGAACCACAGCTTGCTTTAACCATGGTTCGTTGCATAATGTCCTGATTTACACATCGGCACTGTACCATAACCTAACTAGAATTGCTGCAGCCAGACCCAAAAATAAACTATATGGACCTGCTCGCTTGGTGTACACGTACACATAAACCAAATTCCTTTTCCAAGCAAGCCGATTTGCCCGTTCTTGGTCCGGCTGGGGACTCGCTAAGCAAAACCGCATCAGTGAAGTCCAACGGTGGAGGAGGCGAAGCAGCAGAGAAATCCAATCCCAGTGGATCCCCTGAACCGCTGCCGGCAGAGAACCGGTTTCGGATTCGGCTCCCCCGGGCAAGGCTTCCCCAGTTGATCTTCAGGAAGGAGAAAAAGCCATTAGCCCTTAAAGAAGTTGATTAAAGTAGCAAAATGTTCACTCACCGGCCAACATGGGCTTCCGAGATTTTCATTACTCTAAAGAGAGAGACGAGAAAACTGTCAACATTGATCAAGAGGGTTCAGCCATGGATAAAAAAAAAACGGGAGAAGAAAAGAAAGGCCAGCGCGCTGAGCCTAGCAAAGCCCCTCAGCTCCACCCAGAGATTAGGGAAGGAGGCCCAAAAGGCAAAGGAGAGGGTCCGAATAGGATCCAAACCCAAAGCTTTATCAGTGTTGCTCGTCTACTCGGATTTGAACAAATGCAAAAGAGGGGATCCCGATGCGGCCAATTTTCGGAGTTACAAAACTGGAGAAAGAAGGCCATTAATCTACCAAGGAATAGTTCCAATTCTTATCTTAACAGCACAACCTAATTGCCAAAGCCCTGGTTAGCTTCAACGTGGCTTATTAAATAAACCCCACTTGGCTGGTTTGGCAGCAAGTTCCATCATCAAACAGGCTGGCAGTTACCATGGTTGGGTTTGCCCAACACACTAAGCTCCGAACAAACAAACTACATCTCTGTTTATAGCAGTGTTTCTCAACCTTGGCAACTTAAAGATGTGTGGACTTCATCTCCCAGAATTCCCCAGCCAGCCATGCTGGCTGGGGGATTCTTGGGGGTTGAATCCACACACCTTTTAGTTGGCAAGGGTTGGAAACACTGCCATAAACA